TATAAACCGGCCATTGCAAGTTGTAGAATAGGATACGTAAGAATTCAAAACGCCGCCGCAACTTGAATGAAGCCAAGTGCGTGGTGCATCCCGAGAAGTATTGGTGAACGTCAAAACACCTCATCCTTGATTGTTTATCCTTTATTATTATTTTCTTACTTCATAATTTTTGATCGATAGCTTAAATACTTTCTAGGCCACATGAGCATTCAAAATGCCTTTCCAATTTCGAATAAAAATTTTGCACGGGTAAAATAGGATCGACGAACGCCAAAAGAATTTATTTTTAGGCTGTTGAAGCCTTGACTTTTGCATCACTTGAACTGAGGGTAGCAAACCACTTGTCAGCATTGCATGAAACACCATCTGACTTAAAAGCCGTGCAGGCTAACGTTCCGCTAATTGAAATTCTAGCTGAACCTGATTCGTCAGACGAGATATCGTCATGAAGAGACCGCGAGAGCGATCTCAAGATAGCATTGACTGCTCCTGTGTCCAAACATCTCATTAATTAGAATGGCTTTTGACTTGATCCAGATCTACTGCTTCGTTGTTTTCTATCTCTAAGGTAGTTCCAATGCTGCCTACATTCGAGTAAACTATTTTGAATGCAGTCACGTGACAAATAAACAAAAGAGAATGATGTGAAAATTGTAAAAAAGGAAGGAGTAGGGTACGACAATATGTATGTGCTCAAGAATAGGTACAGTCGGGGTGAAAAACAGCATGGGAGAAGCCGGCCACACATCCAGAAACGAGGGCCGCCCCTGTTCGGTAATGGGTGAGATCAGTTAAAGAGGAGCTAAGTCTCTTTGGATAAGATGTGATAGTGAGAAGTGAGAACTTGTTCGAAAATCCAGTTTTTCTTGTTCTTCACGTACCATCCACGGAATAGCTGTCATCGTTCCATCCTACAAGTATGTCCACAAGTCCTCGTTCTGCCCAAGATCGTCCCAAATACTCTTCAAAGAAAGGTCATGTTGTCTTGGAATCGGAACCCAGCTGTGTCAACTGATCTTTTCCATCAGCTAATTTTCTGATCACTAACTGCCACAAATACAACAGTCGGTACAACCGCAATCACTCTATTGATACAACAGCAGACGAAGTTGATAAAAAAGGCCTTGAACTCAAGACAAGACTGCGTGATGATGATGACGATGTTTTCGAAGGTCTTGTAGAGGGCTGTGATCTTGATCGGATAACCTTATCAGTTGATTCCATCCTTCCAGGCTCCAAACACCGCGCATTCGCCGAAGCGTTAACCATCCAAGGTGTCTACCAACTTTGTGTTTAGCTACATCAATAAACTTGGTCCGATGAAATACTGAGATCCACTTCTCTGTGCTCAGCCCCAATTACATTATTAAAAAAAACCCTTGTAGGTTTTTCCCCTGAATTCCCTGAACTTAAAAAAAGTAAATTTATAGCATTTGAACATTTATACCGGGATACACCTATAGGGGAAATACCCCTTTGTCTGAATATTTACAGAAATTTCAATTTGATACAACATCAAGAACAGTCAAAGGAGCACGGACGATTGTGAGGTAATTGAAACAACTGAATAACTTATAGAACATCTTCAATGCATAACCGTATGGGTCTGATTAATAGGGGATCGCTTTGGGATGATGGAGGCGATTACTTGTTCAAATTGAGGAGTTGTCGCATCCTCATCACGCAAAGCATTCAGAGCCCTGTAACATATGAATAGGGAGTGGTGGATCATCCTGTGTATTTACAGATTATTACATAGTAAACAAAAGTAAACGAAAAGGCCCAGTCTGGCCGATGAATTCTGGAGCGTTCCTATGTGGAAGTCAACAGACTGGAATTTCAGCTAACTCCCAGAACTAACCCCTCCGGAAGAGGTAAGTAGGAATTGTTCAGAATAGACAACACTGATCAATTTTCCCACTAGATGCGCCACGCATTCGACTACCACTTAACCGTGTGGGTTGTGCAACACCAGTCCGAACGTTATACAATGATTAGGGATGATGGACCAACAGATTTTCTCGACTAAACCGTCTGATTTCGTCGAATGAAGCAAAAAGATTTGGCGAAAAGATTTTTTCTAAGCCTAACTGGCTTAGAAAAAAATTGTTTTCGTTAACTGTCACAGTCACGCTACCGCCAGTTCTAGTTCCAACTCACTTTTCTGCAAAGTCTCCCTGTTCAGCGTTTACTTCGGCCACGTCAGCCTTATTCAATATTGAACGCACACGAGCGACAGAAGTGGAATCAGCTGGTAAAGGAGGAATGATCTGAAAAGGATACGTATCGATTGAACAAACATACGGGCTTGAATTGCTATTAATTCATATATGAGCATGTTTGGATGGGGGCCTTCCGTGAGGGAGTCAAGTGGGAATTTCACGGAGAAACCTTTTTCAAATTATGGACAAAATCCAATACCATTCCGATTAAGATTTGAAAAGATGCATTTCTCCAAGCTTGAGATATGAACTGAATTTGAGTAATGTGGGACCTTCGCCTATTACTATTTTACCATTACTTTAGAAAGATACATATGTTCTTGGTATTCTCGTACCAAGAGGCACCCATGCATCCGACCACGAGCGAAAATTTCAAAAACGGACTTTCGGAGGAGAGTCAAGATACAAGTTGAAGGCACAGTTCACGATAATTCCCTGTTGCTGGCTCGTGGCGTTCCCACCCTTCGATCGATGCCAGTCACGTCAGACGAGTGTCGAGACGATACAGATTGCAAATTCTCGCTCTAGGACCCACACACAATCAGCTGATCGCAGAGTGATGAAGCGATGACTTCCTTCTATTCTTTTGTTCTCTGCTATTCTTTTTGCTGTTGCAATCCCTTTTTTAATTTTCTAGCCCAAGAGGCTGAAAAAGGCGGGCTATTTTTGCTGCTACTAGAGGTTTTTCGTTAACTTTGCCTATGAGTGAATGAATTTTTGCCTACCGCAGTCAGTTATTTGCACAAGGACCCACACGTACGCAATGACTCACATTGTATAGCTCGTCCAAACCCTCCATTCTTCTTCTTTTTTATGGTCTCCTCTCGTCCAGACCCTTTTCAACGATTTTTCGAAACCTTTTTCCACTTGGAAACATCGATTCACGCAGTTTCTTCGCCTTCATCGCACTATTTCCATCTTATCTTCCATTTTTCGTCATAATCTGCATTACCCAAAATTACCGTTAACTGTGCCTTTAAGGCGTCTTTGTTGGTAACAAAGACAAAAGGCACAGGAGATTTTCGTAATTTTGAGGCATTCGTTGATCTGGATCGGTTTGGAGTTTGCTCCCCGAACAATGGATTCTGGAGCTTCATCGAGTAAAAGCTAATCTATCTACCACTCGCTCTTTCCGCTACATCATTAGTATATCAGCTAACAAACCCGTGACCATAGCGATGTTTTGTATTTAGTTTCCGGTACCATTCAGAGTTTTGATATTAATACTGCATCTGCGTCTAGCCTCTGCGATTTGATGTAAACCTTCAAAATCTCCAGCTTTAACGCAGTCACTGTTCCGTACGTCGGGCCTCTGAAAGAGCTAGACTTTTCTTGATCAGGGCTAAGCAGGGGACTGCAAAAATTGGCACCGAAAACTGTCCTCTGTCAACTAAACCAACTTTCAGACCTGGGAGACCTGGAAGGGGAGGGGAAGAAGTTGGAAGGGGGAGGTATGTAGAGTGAAAAAAAGAAGCATGACAGGCCTTTAAACTTCAACAAATCGTTCAAACCCATTCAGTCCTTGCTAATATTTGTTCTTTCCCACCCACACCTTTTATAATGACTACGGTTACCACACATTACGCGACCCATGCTCGATTCACATGCAAAGAGTAGAGAATGGGTAAAGACCAAATTCCTAATTACTTTACATCTACGATTACTGCAAAGACAAACATACGCCGCTCGACAGCAGCGAAACCATTAATTTTCTGCAAAGACCCGTGTTCTTCACGTCTTTCAAGGTTGATTGTCGGAAGTGAGAAAGAGAACGGAACACCAACCGAACGGGAACCTTTCAGCGATTGGACACATGCTTAGGCGACTGCAAAAATCGTCGGTGAGTCTTCACGGGAATTTGGACACCGGCCAACGGGTCAGGCACTGGACCTTCAACGAATGACCGACCCTCACATCTCTTCTTTTATAATAAAGACCCCCTAAATAAAGTAAAAAATATTTTTGGATCAGCGCAGAACTGTGAGTGAAAGCTCCAATCTCGGACCAGACTCAATTCCGTTTTTGCTTGTTCCGAGCACCGTGCTCCCGATACCTCATTCTCCCTACCTCAGCTTTTTGATGATATATCCACGACGCTATAGAAGCTAAGAAAGGGTGAATGGAAGCTTTGTAGTGTAATGGATAAGAGAAAGTTTCCCTAAGTAGGGTATTTTGCCACAATCAGCGCCATTACGATAAAAGCCTACTGCGAACTCCGCTGAAAAACAGCAGATAACAGACAACGAACATTGGAATTTCTGAAAACTAGCTGTTCTCGGCTATACCCGTCCAATTCTGAAAACTAGCTGTTCTCGGCTATACCCGTCCAATTCGGATATACAATATATGTAGTTATTAGAATGCTGACTTTCGAAGTCTCCTACTTATGTATGCTTGGGTAAGGCCAAGTAGCGTACTAACACACGTACGGTCAGAAGATCGGGTCTCGTGTGGGTACCCACCTACTTCAAGTTGTCCATGCTTCTTGATGAAAAAATTGTCAAGGGTTGTGGCAGGGAGGGCAACCGCAATGACCTGTGCACCTAACGCTCCCACAATTCACTGTAATTGTGAAATACGCATTAAGCGTGGGTACAATCCCGACTGAAAGCAAATTGCCTGAGCGCTCCCCAAAAATGGCAATGATCAACGTCTTAAAGCCTCATCTATTCACTTCATGCATATTCCTTCACTCTGTAAGTGAGTGATTTCGATATCGATATCGAAATCTTTTCGAGTTCAGCCATCCCCACGTTCGATTCCGCTGATGCCGCGGAATCCATAAGAATGGGGCGCTCCTTAGCACCTGAGGAGGATAGCCGTGCTGACAGAAGGCTTCGTCAGCATCTCGATACTGCGCATTTTTATAAATTAGATTCGGCAGTGTCGCAATGCGATTATGTCAACTGCTATTCATTCCAACTTCGGTGTCCCACCTATGTTTGGTATCGGACAATAGATGTGCGACTGTAGGTCTCAAGAAAAACACGGGAACTGAACAGGTGCTTAGTGACTGGGTTGGAATCGTATCCATTTCATAAGTAATAGTAGTAGTAATAAATAAATATTAATAAATATTCATAGCCTAGCTGTCGTCATTGATTGCTTTAGTTTTTTTATGACAGAGAGGCAGAGCAAAGAGTGAGATTTGTCCCGTGAACAAATATCCCCTCTTTTGAGACTTAAAAGGCATGATGACGTAGGTAACTAGCCAGTAATAAGTGAAGTGACTAAGATATGTTGCGGAGCAGGACAATCTCTTATTGTTAGAAGTAATCGTGATTATGGACAGGTTGGAGCTACCACAAATACCATTTACTTTCTTTTTCTGTATATTTGAAGAGTCGCCTATAACAACCTCATTTTACCTTTTCTTGTATAATTCTTCACTTCTGTAAAAAGCGATTAGTAACGTGGATTTGTACCTGTGCGATTCGGGTGACTTCAAAAGGTTCATAGAGATGAACGGAGATCGTCTTTTCATCGTGGGCAGGGCCGTCTAGGCTCATCACTGCAGCGTCAGGAAAGAAACGTCTTACGGCTCGCAGTATCGGCGAATTTGAAGCTGAAAGTTCCAGGTAAATTAGGGGCTTGTCCCAGAAATCTAACAAGTGGTACTTCGGGTAGCGTCAATGATGACATCGCCATGAAGTCGTGAAACGTCATCGGTCATTCGTAGATTGTCCATGAGACGAGCTATCATATCTTGCTGATGCTGGAAAATTGACCGGTACGGTCGGTATCGGGTAAGAGTCAAAACCTCGAACAAGGCTCGTCATTGAACTAAACTCACCCTGAGATCATCGATAAATTGCAGCGGAAAAATCTTTTCGACATGTTCCTGAACTAAGGCTTCAATGGACTCCCGCATCGGTTTACCCGTTCCATAGAGGGCCACTGGTGTACCATTTGAGCACACTAAATTACACACTAATAACAAATATTTTATTCAATCATTTGCTTTATTTTTTGCTTTGTCATTTCTATTCACTTATTTAATTTCTTAGTTTGTTTTTAATTCATTTCTAATTCAAAGAAGAGCCCTTCGTTTTTTCTTTATAATGCTCCTCATTCCAAGTATATGTGATGTTCGGAATTTTTTTTCGAGATCATGATATTCCAAGACAACCCTCGTCATTCTAGTTTGATCCGAACTGGGTTATATCGATCTATTTCTTTTATACAGAAAGCGAATAGAGAAGGACTTACAGAGTTTTGTCACAAATGCGGCCAGTCTCCCTTCTCCTACAACAATTGCTGAAGCCATTTCTGGAACGACGATGAATTACCTGTAATAAGACGGAAGATTAAACTCGAAAACCGAGAAATTCGACGTTTGAGAGGCGACTGCATCTGGTACCTTGGGAGTAGTCGTCGATGAAAAAAAAAAGAAAATTCATAAAAACCTCTAGGACAATCATTAGTTAGAGTAATCTTGAATCCTTTTGTCACAAATGAAAAACATTCTAGAAGATTGGAAAAGATGAGCAATCTGCTGAGAGGGATCAGAGGAAGTCAACACAGAGTGCCAGACTGGTAACTCGCTGAAGAGCTCAATCGTGGGAGGAGCCTTTGGGTGCATCGAAGCAGCTCCTCACCACGCCTCTACTGCAGCAATGAAGAGTAAATAAATCAAAAACCGCTTTTTTTTATGTGTACAATCTATTTTAGGGTTTTGATCGGTCACCAACGGCGGTTGTTGCTCGTTAGCAAAGGAAGATGGCCTTTGGTCGGTCGAAGTAGCGCCGGCCCCATAACGAACACATAGACCTGGTCAGCCCCCAACCCGTGCACAACATGCGTAGTACACGTGCCAACCCTCTGCTCCACCACCACCATCTCCCCGTGCCCTTCATGTCATCTGTCCGTTTTATATCGTCACGATCACGACAAAAACACGCATTTGCAGCGAACACTTCATAGTAATATCGTATGTATACGGTAGATGGACGGCATTAGACTGCTGGTCGAAGTCGATACGTTTCTGATGCCGGTTCACGTAGGGTTTTCAGCATTCGTGTCCACTGACCAGAATCGCTCTTCACATCACATTGACCGATAACACGTTTGCTGAAAAGAATGCCGTTATCAGTAACATTCTAAAGGAATGTGAAAGTAGAACAACACTGATGTTCGAGCCAGACAGGAAAAAAACTTTACCGTCAGAGAAAGACGGAAAGAATTTTCAAAATATGGATGCGATATTCCTGAGAGCTGATATTAAGAGTGCATCCAATGGCCCAAAACGTATCAAAAACTAGAAGAACTACCAAAATAATGAAAACAACACGAAGCCAAGATGGTGCAGCTAATGGATGAGCGGTACTCCACTTGAAAGAATCGAAACGAGNTCTGAGCTGATATTTAGAGAGCATCTAGTGGCCAAAGGGTATCGAGAACTAAAGAAACTACCGAAATAATGAAAACAACGCGAAGCCAAGATGGTGCAGCTAATGGATGAGCGGTACTCCACTTGAAAGAATCGAAACGAGTGCTGGTAGGGGGTTAAGCTTTAAACGCCTTGCCTCTGAGACCTCCCAAAGTGCTTAGTGAATTACAAAGTTCTGTCCCCTCTACTACATATAACGGGCTTCCTAATACATATAGCCCCGGCTAGAAACCTATGTTTATGGCTGAGACTCAAAAAAAAGTCTGTCAAACTTCACACCCAAGAAATACCCGGCCTCCGCATGAAGATTGCTTTTGTTCTATAATAGGTAGCATGGTGAAACTTTGGTCATCCTGAACACGATTATCGAAAAGAATCGCTTCGAGGATTCGATACCAACAATAAGTTTAACGTCGATGGCCCCTTCCATACCCATTTAACGCCCCAATTCAAGTGCCCCCACGCCTAACAAAAAGAGTCAGACTTGTTCATATCCCATCCCTATCATTAGGTCAGCAGGACCCCTTTCCATCAATCGGAATTTGAGCATTGAGGAGAGGGAAACTTCTTCTTCAATCTCACTTTTTGGGTGAGGCGACAAAAATTCCGAGGAGTAGCTAAGGTGGTAGCGTGATATGCCGTTACAACAATAATGCTTTGGATAGCAACTCTATATTTCGGATACTTTCACCCAGACCTGTTCACACCCAAGCAAATCAATCCATTCATCTCTCCGGAATATCGTCAAAGTTAGAAAATTCACCCTTAGATTATGTTCTTCTATTCTTTAATCATTTATTACATTAGATATGGCTTTAAAATATAATAATATAAACAAAAAATAATGTTTTAACTAAAAATCTTCATGGCAAAACTGTAGATACACAACAACAACAACTGAAGTTGCCCGGTTTTTAGATAAAAGGGATCGGAATCCACCAGTAATCGTTCTCTTATAGCCCCGCTTTCTGTGAAATGGTACCATTTGAGCGATGAGTTTTCAAAGAAATCGTTCCGCGAAATCGTATTTCGCTGTAAAACTGTTTTCCGTGCAAATGATGGAGTAAACATAACTGCCAGATCCAAACGTCCACCTTTTCCGCCTACCACTAAGAAGAACGAATCCATCATGCGGCAGGGTTTTTGCTTTACTCTATCAGCCACCATATGTAGCCATACGGGGTGCGCTTCGTTGCGCGTGTCCGTCGAAACTAGGTCACGCCGCAGCCGTCGCACGCGGCGAGTCGGCCCGCGATATTTGACAGACGTCGCAATTGTCACTGGGGCATACGCTTTGCGTTTGGCCCACGGCAGTCAGTTCAAGAAGAAGATAACACAGACAAATGCAAATCATTTGCTCCAACGACACTTGGTGGTACTGTAATGTCATCTCGAGACCTCAGTGTGATGCGCCGCGCGCGAAGTGGGCGGGGTGACCTACTTTCGACGGACACGCGCAACGGACGTTCTCCAGCCATACGTAGTCAACAATATCTGCCCGACATCCACTATGGATATCAGGGTGGAAGTTGTACAACCAGGCACAGAACACATGTACTTATGCGGTGCTGATGATGTACTTGAGTCATATGACACCGGAACCGTTCCACAATAGTTCATATTCCTACCATTTTCATTTTCTGGGAGATTCCATACCTATACTACAAAAGGAAGCAACTCCCTTGTATTGCAAAGTATTTTCTGTTCCAGGCTGTGAAGAAATGCAACAAATAGTACACAGAACTGTTTAGATGAGGCTTCAAGGTCAAATGCTTGACACAAATTTTAACGGGTTTCAGCAGCGAAGTGGTCGGATTCGAACTTGCAGAGATGTATTGAATATGGAAAGTCGGCTGAGAACCTCCACAATTTAACAAGAGAAAGCAGGACTACTATGAAATTTCAGGAGCTGCTTCCCACATAACCACATACTCCATCTGGGATTTTAAACCATAATCAACTACTTTTACTGGTACTGATATAAAAATCTGTTGGCGGGTGGTAATTACTACATTCCAGCAACATTTAATCACAAAGTGACCTACTTAAAGGAAAAAAGAAGCTGTTCAAAGAGGAATAGCTGAAAATTCAGGCTCTATGTATCTAGTAGAGCGAAGCTCCTCTCAGCTTCTCGTCTTTGGAACATACGTCAATTTTGAAGATAAAAACTGCCACCATTCTCCTAAAGATAGCCATTTTGGTCAAAGTGTTTTCATTGACACTCTGGTAGTTCTATTAGGTCGTGAAGAAAGTTCTTGCGTTTTTGCGCCTCAAACTTCAAATGCACATATCTCGGCTTAAACAAAAGTTCATCAGTCGAAATAACAACCATTACTATCGCCACACTTTTGTAAACGAAAAGCAAGTTTGTTTATCTTATTCGCATAGAAGTCCGGAGATCTAAAGGCGATGAAATCGTCGAATGCCGCGGCAGCATCATGTTGGGTTTTGGAGCATTTCTCCTTAAAAAAGCCGTCGAGATGTTTAAAGAAATGGTAGTCTAAGGGAGCAAGGTCTGGGGAATGTGGTGGATGGGGGAGAGTTTCATAGCCTAGCTCCATCAGTTTTCTCAGGGTAAGTTGTGCGACGTGGGCCCGTGCGCTGTCGTGGAGTAGAATTGGCCCCTTCCTATTCACCAGTGCCGGGCTCATGAGCTGGAATTTTCGATACATTTCGTCAATTTCTTGACAGTACTTTTCGGCTGTAA